TGTTAAAACAAGTGTAAAAACACAAAGTGCAGAGAGTGCATCAAGACAAAATACAAGCAAACAGTAGACAATGTACAAGTAAACAGTCTGAATGTAAACAATGCAGACGTGTAAACAATGACTGGAAATGTGCAATAAATAAGAAATCATAATGTGGTAGATGGTATAGGTGTGAGGTCCGAGGGACATGGCTAAATGTGTTCGCCAATTGCACTTATTATCGTCCGTGGTGTGTGTGGTAATGCACAGTATACGCAGAGCCTGTTTGGAATTTCATCAAATGGGAATTCTTGTCAGTTGTTTGCAAGGAAGATGCAAACAAGACAATCTTGCAGCCACAGGTGATGAGAGTGCAGGACACCGGGGTCCTGACCAGCAGGAAGCTGCCCCCAGTCTGTGAAACTGCAGTATTGACTTGAGCACTGTCTTTGGCTGAACTCATGAGTCAATATTTGTTGCAGTCTAGCTGGCCAGCATGACAAGGTTCATTTTTAGGCTGTGACTCTGTACCCAGCATACACCAAACTGCCAAACCCATCTTACAAACGCCTACCGGTGAACTTGGTACATTATTTTGTGACATTCATTGCTGAATGTTGAGGGCAAGTCTTTATGGGACTTTCTGTTGCATAGATGTGGGCATTTTCTGTCTGTTGCTCAGGTTTTTACCTGGCATAGCATGTAGCAACATGATAGTGAGTGAGAGTTGGGAGCACAGGACGCAGTGGGTGATGCGGTCAGGTCCTTCACCTGAGGCACCTAACGAAGGCTCCAGAGCTGAAACATTGTCTTTTTTCTTTTCCTTCCAGCATGGAATAAACATTTACCTGTTCCTATGAAAGGAGCATGATAACTCCTCTAGTATCTGCTGAATATCTATTTTTCAGTTTCCATTTAGCTGGAAAAACCCTAAAAGGCTTTTGCTTCTCCTGGCTGAATGTGTGAGGAAGAGGAACTTATTTCAGTGCTGCAGAGCCTTCAGACTCTCAGGCCCATGATGCATTTCCTCCCAGCTTTTGGTCATTAATCCCCAATGCCCTTTGCTGGCCTGTGTTTGGTGAATAGTATTTTGTTATATGGCAGAATCTGAAGCTCAAAGGGAAGCACTGTTCCATGGGAGGAGACATGTGTATGAGACGCCCTGCAGGGGTGGGGACTGCGCTGACTTCAGCTCAGGTCAGACCTGCCGGCCAGGGAGCAGTCAGGCGCGGTACCACGTGCACCTGGAGGAGCATCGGATAATCCTGGGTTAAGTCAGACGGAAGATGATTAGCGTGAGTAAACCTGACAGGAAGAGAGGATAATGGGGTTACTGTGAGCCTTGTCGAAAGCCGGCCAAATCCGCCCATCAGATCAGGGAGGGTCTTTCTGACCCTAGAGCAGCAAGCCAGGCTCTCCCCTCTCTTCTCTTCGCTGTCTTCTCTCATTCCTTTTTCTCTTTCTCTCTTCCCTTTCTTTCTCTCTCCTCCAGTCTCACCCCCTGCCTTTCTTCCTCTCTCTCTCAATGCTCAGATTGGCATTTCTGTGTGTGCAGGGTTGTCCCATTGGCTTTGTTCTGGTTTTATTTACTTATTTATTGCTGAGCTTCACTCAAGCGGAACTCCATGTGCTGAAAATAGACCTGTCACAAAGACTTTTCCCCCTTTCAGTCTTTTGGATTGCACAGCGCCTCCTACAGCTCAGCGCTCACCAGCCTGCCCCACTGTGGGCTGTGCTGCTTCCTCGGGCCAAATGGAAGGGAGAACAAAGGACAGTACACTTCAGGACACGAGTCACAATGTTGAGGCCCCGAACAACCCCCGCCAACAAACCCCGAGCAGCACTGAAACGTGAGCTCTCCAAGCAGCTGCTCTCCACACGCAGAGCTCATTAGGATTAGTGTTCTATTAGCAAATAAAGGCAGAGGTCGTTCAGAATGGTGTAACATGCGAGACACGAGTGCAAAGGAAAGAGCTAAGAGCTGTTTCAAAGTGGCAGTAGCCCAGGCTGCGCTCAGCCAGTGGATAACGGGCTCGGATCAGAACCAGGAACAGGGCAGGCGTGTTCAGCTGGTGGATTGAGGGCGAGCCTGTTTCCCCACTGTAGCTCCAGTGAGTGAATTGAAATTTCTGGAACGTTTTCAAATTTGAATCTTTGTCTCATTGGTGAAGAACTTGTATCCTGTGTGCATAGCTGTACCTACAGTAACAACAGGTTTTCCCTAAAAATACTTGGGAAATACAGTTGGGAAATACTCATGTGCTCTGCTAGTCTTTTGCTTCAGGGGGGTAAAGCCCCCGGGCTGGGAGGAGGTCAGCTGGGAATGGTGGTATCAGGCCTTCGTGTCTCTCTTCGTTCCCTTTTTGCTAAGAGAGCCCAATCAGCATGAGCATTTGAGGAGGGGCAGGCAGGGCTGTGGTCAGGAGATCCCTGGCGAGAGAGGAATCCGCCTGCTGCCCCAGGCGACTCACTTGGCTTTTTAGCTCCCCTTTGTACTCAAGGGTGTGAGGAGGAGCAGCACTAAGCTTCATGAGGGGTGTGGTGGGGGGGGCATTTAATCCATTCAGCCAGTAATGTAGTACACTATTCCCAAACCAGTCTGACTTTCCATTTCCAGGAGGGTGGACTTTGGGATATGGTAACCCCTAAAACAGCTGAAAGTAACCGATGAAGCTGTAACTGTCCCCCACAGTGAGCGCTATAGCCTCACCAGCACCCCGCTCGCCCACGACCTGCCAGCTCAGCCTGTCGCACTTCTTTGTTAGACCTCATCTCCAGCAGGCCTGCTCTTCGGGCTCGCTCCATTTCCTACTCCTTCGTAGGATGTGCTCCCAGAGTTTGAACCTCTTTGCAATGAAGGCATGTCTTCATTTCGGGTCTCACACAATGTTGTCAAAAATCTCTGCAAGCCTGCTGGCTGTTTCCTTGCACCTGAACGTAGCGCTGTGGAAGCCATTTTTGGCTGGGTTCCCGTTCCGGTCTGTAGTCCTGCTGTGTTGACATAAATCTATTCCTCAGAGAGCTCTTGTAGAAGAGCAGGAGCCACAGCAAGTGCTGAGTGTGGAGAGATTGAATATGTGACACATTAACTCCTCTCAGCCCAGACTCACCTGGCTAAGTGCTTACTAGAGCAAGCTGGTGATAAGTGAGACAGCTGCCTGCAAACACAGGCCCAGTCCACAGCAAGGTCCACCAAACACCAGCTCAAACATGTCCCCGGAGATTCTGTCCACTTCCTGTAGACCACACTTCCTGAAGGGTGGGCACTGTCCTAAGTGGGTTTTCCTCACCCCTTTAACTTTGCTAGTGCTTAACACCACGACATGGCTCCCAAACTAAAGCTTCTAAGAAGTGCCTGAAACAAAACAACCATCAAGACTAACTTGTTCATGACCAAAAGAGATTAAAAGAGCTACTCTGTTTATCTGCCTGCATGATGGATTCTTTTAGGTTTGTGTTAATATGTACAGCCTGCCTACTGTAGGAGACACAATTCAAAGCCCCTGCGAGTCAGCCTAGCCTGGCAGTGTTAGACCATGCTGGAGAATGCCCAGCAGCACTGGTGGCTACTGGTTGCCAGTTTTACCAGCTGAGTTCTGTGTAAGCTGGCCATGCTAAGCCTCCTGCTTGCCCAGCTATAACGCACATGTCCGCAATGGGTGGCTAACACTACCCGTTGTGCTGTCCTTGCCTGCAGTTCTTCATGTGAAGACCTTTTGTGACTCTTGAACAAACAGCCTGTTGCCATAGCAGCGAAGGGCTGCCTGTGTGTGTGGACCACACTGACCTGGACCCTGGTGGGCTCTTCCTCAACTGTGCCAAGACCGGGCTGACCCAGCCCACGCCAGGGAACAGCGGTTTGACGCTGGGTGAAGGAGCTTTAGGGGTGGTGAGAACCCCGAGTCACTTACCCAGCAGCAGTAGCTTCACGGTCTTGGACTCCTTGTCCGCGTCCTCCTGCAGCTTCTTCTCCAGCTCCTTGGACCTCTTGGCCAGCTCCTTGTCTTCTGCGCTTGCTCCACTCCCCATGTCCAGCTCGTCTCCTCCCTCCTCCAGCTCCAGATCCGAAAGGAAGGAAATCTTGAAGGCAGTGCGCTGCGCCCGGCAGGAGCGACAGGTGGCAAGGTGGTCCTGGGTTAGGCTGAGCTGGGTGAGGGGTTCCGACAGCCGGAGCGGGAGAAGCAGGGGGAGACGGAGGAGCGCGGAGATCCAGGCGGGCAGGTGGCCACTCGCAGACTGCTGAGCTCCTGCCCAGAGACCTCCCCTCTCTGCCTGTGCTGCTCTGCTCTCCACCCTAATTCTCCTCACTTAACCCAATTTCTTAGTGGTGGATTGTGGTGGTGTTGGGGAGGGAGGGGGGAGGTTGATCTTCCTGTGCACACTGGGAAATCCAATTAGCTCGGCCCAAGGACAGAGAAGGGTGATAAGAGTAGATGTATGTTCACTGAAAGGTTTTCTGGCCGAATTGATTTAAATTCCGGAGTTTTGTGCAAATAGTGGCATGCTCTGGCCCCCCTGTTTGACAGAGAGTTACCACTTGAAGTGTCTGTTTCAGAAGGCTGTAAACACAGTGCCTCTATACTGTACATTGTTAATCATTTGCTTTTTTTGCCTTTCAAACATGATCAAAACACCAGAATACACCACCTGGTTCTCACAAGTCTGGGATTGAAAAGGCTCCAATTCAGTGAAATACTCTTTATTGGGGCACGAAGCAGTAAGGCTGAGCTTTAAAGCATCATAGATTCTCATCTTGGACACCTTCACTCCCGCTGACAAAATTGGGAACATTTGCAGAGAAAGAAAATACTTTTTTTCTCATCAAGGGTGGAAGATGGTTGAAAAGCAGTGTCCACACAGCGGCCGTCTTAGGTCCCACCAAACACATTTCTGCGCAGCCGGAAAGGGGTGCAGGAAGGGCCTGGTGGGAGGCGCACCGCTGCGGCTGGTACCCTTGCAGACTCTTTTGAGTTGAATTTTCAGGAGTGACGGACACACAGGAAGTGCAGGCGACCTGGGTCAGCAGCTGCGAAGGGATCTTCTCGGCGCGGTCAAGGTGAGCGCTCTGGTTGCTGATCCTTGACGTTTGGGCATAAAGTCTTTCAACACCCCCTGCCGAAAGAGCAAAGAGCAATAACGCTCCCACCTCTCCCAGGCCGCCTGGAAGACATTCAGATAGCTGATCCTAGCAGGAGGTGTGAGTGTCCAGGCTGCTATGCGTTTATGCAATCTGAAACCTGCCCTTGGTTCACATTTATCTTCTTCTGATTTTTAAGGGCCCCCTGCTGTGTGCTGTTTGGAAATTAGATCACTTGCTGTATTTAATGCTGTTGTGTGTCCTGAGCTGGGTGTCCCACAGCACCCCACTGCAGCATAGCTGGGCTTTGAGCCTGTTGCCCCTTGAGTGGGGTGAAGGAGTTTCAAGGTGTTCTCCCCTGGAACTGAGAAAGTGTTCATGTTTCACAGAAATCAGTCAGATAGAATGAGCTAGATTTATACCAGGGTGTGTTTTTAGGGGTGGGGAATGGGCACCATAAGGGGCTGCTTACTTATCCAAACCCTCAGGGGACAAATCTCATATACTGACATAGTGTCATGAAGAAAGGGGATTGAGAAAGTGTAGATTTGGCAAAACATGTCTGGAAGAGTAACAGGCGATCTAACAGGGGACCAGTTGCCCTAGATCTGGGCTATCAGCTGCAAAAATGAGGCCCCCCCCTCACCCTATCTGACCTATGGATGATACCTCTATTTCTCTTTGAGAAGTGTGAGATAAGTGGTCCAGTTAAGCGAGTAATGGGTTTGATTAGTCTGGCAGGTTAAGCAGTGAGCCAAGGTAAGGGATTCAGCTATGCTTTCACTACAGGTTGTGAAAGGGAGAAACAGACTAGAGCCCTGCCTTTTCTAGACCTCCGCTGGCTCTGCCCCACTCAACAACAACCGAGACATGAATGCAAGTCACTTTCAGCAGAACAGTGGACTAATTCTAAATGACGGGTAGCAAAAAGCACAAAATCCCTAATGCTCCCGAGAGGAATCCAGCGAGTTAATCAGGGTGGCCTCTATCCCCCAGCCCAAATCCCATTACTGTCCCTCCCTGGCCTGCTGCTCCAAGCCAGCCAGGCCAGGGGATTGGGCGAGCTGCTCTGATCTGTTGACAAGATTACACAATTACCCATGAGTCCTCGGATTCAGCCTAGAAGGCCATGGCATTCAGGTCACTTCCTTTCTGTGAGCCTGCTTGGCTTTTGCTTTTTTGAGTTTGCTGGAGAACGTGGGTCAGAGTTACTGGCTACTTGAGTGTCGAAATCCTCTAAACAGCTCCCTTCAGGCTGGGGGTGGGAGGGTGAAACGACTTTGTTCCTGATCCCGGAGGGCAACCTGTGTCTGCAGGTTTTTTTACCAGCTCGTTATCAGTGTAATTGGACCAATTTAACAGCATCTCCCAGCTCTTCACGTGCTCCTGCTTTGAAGAGACGTAGAAACCCTGCAGACACGCTGGCCCTCCAGGACCGAACAGCCCAGCTGAGGGATACTGGGTGCCAGTCACACGTTGTCAGAACACACCTCCTGCCCTCCTGCCCAGCCACTCGCTCTCCGCATTACTGTGTGGAGTGGGAGAAAAGCACAGGCTCAGTTTGTGTAGTTTCATTCACATGCTTCAGGCTTGATCCTGCTCGTGTTTGTTCCGCGTTCCTTGGCTCTGGGGTACAGGGCTTCAGTTTCACAGTAAGCCTGCTGTGTGGAAGCAGAAGTAGGTTCCCATGTCCTGTCAGTGCTGCACAAGAAAGCATAACGAACTGTATCGAACAGTCGCATCCCCAGTGTGACCCCAGTGTGACCCCACTGCAGCTTCGGAGGGGGGGATTCTGACACTGGTCCTTCAGTTCCTTCGACTTCTCAGACAATTTGAGCTCACAGAGTGCAAAAAACACCACCAGCCACAAAATGGAGCAGGCACAAACACGTGACCAACGGACAGTTAGACCTGTGCAGGGCCTGATGTAGATGAACTTGGTGTACTTTTGAAATACTGTATTAAGACGATTCCATTATGTTTGGGGGCTCTTTTAATCAACTACTGCTATTTTAGACGTCTTTTAAAGATAATTATTTAAGACAATAAAAACTTCAAATTAAAGCGATTTTGCAAATTAATTGTGCCGGAGGACGATGAAGATGAATAATTCTGCTCTGCACACTTGGGCTCGAAGTCCGAGTTTCCCTCATAAATACTCGCGGCCCCTTTAAATAGTGTCCGAGTTTCCCGAGTTCCGGGAACTTCTATCATTTCAGACGGGACGTCACCGTTTATTTTTCTAAGAGGAAAACTGAAGAAAAATTGATCAGATTTTTTCACGAGCTCTGAACCCAGGCATGCACTGTTAATTGTTCTTAATGAAAACAATAGGTTTCGTTTAGAAAAGTTCTGATTTCTGCGTGAAAGCTTTTTATGTGAATAAGTGGCGCTCGCTGCCTTCACAAATTTTGGAAAGTGAATCCTCTCTGGGTCTCATTTTCTGAAGAACTACAGTTACAATGGCAGGTAAGTAAATATTAAGTGTCACAGCAAGTTTAATATGATGATAACGGCTGCTCTTGAAGCTTGGGAAACAGACGTATAAAAGCCGTTATGTTCAGCTGCGCTGCCTTCTCCACGGATTACTGGTTTTAGAGGAAGGTTGAGTCAGTTGTGAAAATATTTTTCATCTTTGAAGCGGCCGCTGGAGCTGTTGTGTAACACTGCGCGCAGCGGCGCCGCTCCGCTGTGCAGTAGGACCGCTTGTCTGTAACACTAACAGCCAGCCCAGGTGGTCAAATTCAAGGCGTTTAACCAAATAACGCCTTTTGTTAATGTACTGTATCTACGCCCCGCAGGAGTTCGGTGGAGAATGTGTTGTTTTAGTAGGTTCGTTGGTTAACACGCCTGGAAAAAAATAAGCAGAAAAAGTTACTTGTAATTTTGTCTGCCACTGCCTTTGGCACTTGTGTTAAACTGTGCCACATATTCTTGTGTGTTTTTGGGGGGTGTTGGGGCAGATCTGGGACTATATATCTATACGAAGTGTTTCAGTGAAGGGAAAGGGGACGGGTCTCTGTGAAGATGCCGAACTCCAAGTTCTCAGAGAATATGCACTGCACAAATGCGTGGAGGCGTTCTTTCAAATATGTATGTGTATGATGTTTGTAATACCAACATCTTGTGCTGTTAAACCTGATTTCCCGTTTTATTATGCAATAGCGGCTGTATTCTTCGCCTGGTCGCGGTGGTCAAATATCGTCCTCTTCTGCTCTCTAGTGGCTGAACGTTGCCATTGCAAGCTTTGAGTTTTCACTTCGTGTCTCCACAAGACAAAAGAGTTGCGTTGCTTCCTAGGACGTTCTGTGTAAAATTCTACTACAGTTGACCTAAAATGTTGTTTTTCTGTTATTGGTTTAAAATTATGAAACCGCCGATTAATAGGAGGCACTTCCTACCCCCCGTCTGTTAACAGTAGACTTCCACTGAGGGTGTTATTGGGAAGGTTTGTGGGGAACATTGGCAGTAAATGTGCTGTGCAGTTTAGTAATCTCAGACATGAAGCAGAAATGAGCTGAGTACAGGAAACCCCACTGTCCCAAGACACCCAGCATTGTCGGTGAAGGTGATAGCCTGTCTACCTTCGTGAAAAGTGTGTAGGATTAATCGGCTACTAGCAGCTAAACAAATGCGATGGGCTGAGGGGCCTCCCTCAATTGTAAACTTTCTGCATGAACAGTCAGTCTGTCTTACACTGCAGTTAATTCAGCTGGCACAGCAGTTTCTCACTCCCCTCCGGCCGATCTGCTTGGTGGTGGGGCTGCTCCTCGTCTGTGGTGGGGAAAGTGCTTGGTAAATGTAATTAATTGTAGAAACTTGAAACTCGTTGCTCAGTTTGCTTGGGATGCTTGTGTTCTGTTGGAGCAATGCATGGTTTTGCAAGCTGCAGGCATGGTTCAAATTATGACAAGGCATGGGTTACATTATTCATTATTCTTAAACATGGACATAAGGGTATGAGGGTGTTTCAGATACTCTAGGAGATGAGAATTTCAGT